TTATTCACTCTATTAAATCTACTAAGAATATCTCTATTAATACTATAAAAGTCAAATCGTATTTAACCAACTCTCTTCATAATCAAGCTAATCAGCTAGCCAAACAAGGCTTTATCAAACCTCTTTTAACAATCTCCTATATATACTTCAACCTTCTTACATACTTCTCTTGAAACAATCACATCATCACATTCAAAGCATGCTTTTTTATCAAAAATATTATTACAATTTAAGAACTTATATCCTAGTCATCTCTTAAACTTATCAACAACTACACATCAGATATAAACTAGAACCTGACCTTTAAAATACTTAACTCTCTAGAATATAATTCTCATAAATGCTCCTTTTATATTAAAATCTTAACAAATAGTCTTTCAACAATACAAAATCTTAATATTTACTACACAGACCTATATACAACAAATAAGTATTGCAAATGCTTTTTAACTAAATATCTTCATTATATTCTTCTATGCTCTAAAAATATAGAAAATATTCAAAAATCACTTGTAAACATAACTACTAATACACTTTAACAACTTCAAATCACATTAATTCAACTTAACATACTTCTTAATATTCTTTCACTACCAACAAACAACAATGCAAATACACAATATATTTCTCTCATTCTTACTATTCTAGGAATTTACCCTAAAACAATATACAAAAATATTAAAACTTTAATTAAAAAACAAACAGAGCCCACTCTTTTTAATCTCTCCAATAATCTTTTATATTAGTTTTACTATAAAATATAGTTCAAATGCAATGCTTTCCAACATCAATAGGAAATAGCTTGAAATATTATACCCAAAACCAAATGTATTAAATTCTCCACACCTTTACTTACCAACCAAACAAACTCACATAGACCCTACTCACAATTAATAGATTTATAGGACACTATTGAAAAATGATACTTACAAGGCTTATTACTAACAACATGCTTTTTATAGTATCATGATTAACACCTTAAGGTTTTCTCCAACGTATCCTAACTAGAATTATTTTATTCGCTTAATTTAATGATAGTATTAAATAGGAAATAGGAGGTGTAATATCATATTGTATACTTTTGCAACATGAATGTAGTTAGAAATCTTTACTATAAAAATTCTTTTTAAAACCGTATCTTCTTATTATTAACTAGTTCTGAGTTGAAGGAATTTGGCAGCCTGGTCAAATAACTTATCTGTTCCCTTACCCAGGTCTTTTTAATACCAATAAGACTGTTAATCTTTAGATTAATTTAGGTTTATTGTAATAAAGTTTCTACTATGACATTATATTAATAAAAAAAAAAAAAATTTATGGGGTTTATTTATATTAATAGCTTAGCTTTGTCAAAAACATAGTTTTTCATCAATTTTAACAAAAACACCAGAGTCTCATTAATAACAGATTTTTTTAGTAATCTTCACTTTTTTTTTTCTTTTTCTTTTTTTTTTTTTTTTAGCAGGAGCACTAGGGTTTCATTACTTTAAGTTTGTGTTTCGACTTTCATATTTGAGAGTTTCTCAACAGAGGTTTCATTATTTAGAGCTTGGGTTTTGACTTTCATTATCAAACAAATCGTCTAACAACTATAAACTAGCTAATAATATTTGTGAAGACAACACAGCATGCACTCAATATTTAAGATAGCCAGTGTTAGATACTACCTTCACTAACTATACTGGCTACTTTCAAACTGATAAAAATTTATTATTTTCAACAAGTTCTGACAATAGTTTGAAGAATATGGGATTATGGTCTATATTGATGATGCCACACATAATGTGAACAATCTTTAGATATAATTATAGTTGACACAGGTTAGAACCTTTTTTAAAAAATATGTACATCTATATAATAATTTAAAATATTATATTTCAAATATGACTTTTATCATTAAATGCAGAACTTTATGATACTTATGGATCTAAATTATTTACAAACCAAAATTCATCTTTTTTTGAATTCAATAATTACAATGAGCATATATGAACTATTATCTAATCAAGCAAGTTTTCTATATCCATGTATTTTTTAACCAATTATACCACATATATATAAATATTATTAATTTCTTTTTGTTTTATTTAATAGTCATACAGTATGCAAGTAGCAAGATATATAAAATAGCTTATGACAAATAGCTAGAAAAACTATTTGGGATTTACACCAGATCTTGTAACTACACCTTCCATTATTGGTATTACTTCATAATAATATTTCTTTTTTTTTAAAAAAAAAAGATATAAAAAAAATAATATATCTTTTTTCTAGCATTTAATTTAATTACAGATAATACAGATTCTAAATCATTATTTTTTATTATAACTATTAAGCCATACTCATTTATTGTCGAAGTTAATACAGATTAAAAGTATATTTAACAATTTATTGATTATATTATTAAATTTTTATTAATTTTAAAGATCTAAAACTATAAGTATTTGTATTCTTTTTTTTTTAATATTGTAAGATCAATAACTTAAAATTAATTTTATCTGTAGGCATTAAACTTATTTGAATTATTTGGTGGTGTATTTGGAATACTTACAAGTTTATATGCATTACTATTTGGTAAATTTTTTTATTAGTATTTTTTTTTTTTTGCATAAATAATCATTAAATAATTTAAATTTCTTATTTAATTTTAGGTATAAAGTCTATTCAACTATGGGGTTTAGTTCAGAGAAATGTTTTTAAAGTAATAAAACTGCACAAAATCAATTGTTAACTACTTTTGAATCAATGCAATTTCTTGATCACCTAAACAATAATAAGGATAATTTAGATCAACTATTAACTAAAAAGTTAAAAAAAGATTCAATACATTGCAATTATTTTTAAGAAATTATGTAGTAAATACACAATACTTAGAACAAACTAATAAAAATATTAATCATAACAAAAATAGTCAATTTTTTGTTTGTTATAATTATTGTATTTTTTTTTTTTTTGGTTTTAAGGTGAGGTCTTGCTCATATCTTTATTAAATAATTTATATAAGTAATTACATAGAAACTATATAAAGACTTAATTTGTATACAAACAAATAAATATAAATTACATA